ATATATATATATATATATATATATATATATAGAGAGAGAGAGAGAGAGAGAGAGAGAGAGAGAGAGAGAGAGAGAGAGAGAGAGAGAGAGAGAGTCCTTACCTGAGAGGAGTTGAGGACAGCCATAGCTGCCACCTGTATACAAGTTGGAACGACTTTGTTGTTCTTTGATTTTTCTATAATACATTCGAATTCTCATATGGTGTCCATCTCGTGTTTTATGTGCCGAGCTTGGTGTGATGAATTGTGAGCTTGCATGGACTGCCAACTTGGTGTAAATTGGGCGAGATCATTTCACGGTAATCAGACTATGACTATTCAAGACCTGGACGAGCAGTAATCCATTTTTGTGGGGCTGACACCATCTGATAGTTTCACTTCAGAGGAGCGAGGATGGCGAGAGCGCAACCAAAATGGCACCAATCGGATCCGCCCCCAATTGCACTCTACAGGCCTCCCCAAGGCCTCCACCTAAGATAGACGCTTCACACGAAAGGAAACTGTTGCCGGCAGCAGCCTCAAAGATCAAAGCAGCTTCTCTGCCTGATAGAAATAAGCAGCGATTCGAGCAGCCCGGGGGTATGCCTCTCCAATCTGCCACTTGTCTCAAGGACACAGCAGGTCTATATCGTCAGCAGTAAGGGGTAGTCGTGTAAGCCGTTCCAGATCATTGAAGCGAACGAATCATACTTTCTGCTCCTGGCATGCTCTCGTGTGAATGCAAGCTTTTCTATCAGATTAGAGCCATGAATCTGGTTGCCTTTGCAGCCTGTGTAAGGGCTGATACCACGGGCCACTTCACTTCAGCCTTAGCAGTTATAGGCCTGGGAAAAATTGCAGACGAATTTTTGTGTTGCAATAGATCCTTGCTTTTCAAGTTTTGTAAAATATTCGCAAGAATCTCCGTGTCCACGCAACTTTCTCGCATACCTTCGAAGTTTGAACTCTGAAGTCTGAACTTGAGCAGCATTTCTAAACATTTCAGAAAAGGAGAAATGCAACTGTGAAAAAAAGGACAAGCTTATACAACATGTACAAAACAAAGTGCAACGGAATAAGCAACGTGAATGGTGATAAACCAGACCGCAACGTCTCACGGAAGACCAGATATCATTGAACCGAAACCGAAAGCAGAATGCACAGAGAGATCACACCAAATAGGAACAAGCAAAGCACTGAAGTCTCTTGATAATGAAAGCCCTTCCAAACGCCTCCAATCACCAATGCAACGACAATGTAGCTCCCTCTTGGCGGCTATCCACCCAGACTACTGACAAATGCTCCTATCAACAGCCTAGCCCACTATGCTACAACAGGTCACGCGTGTCACCAGCCCAATGCTGCTTGAAGACTCTAATTGTACAGCCTGCCTTCGTCGTCACCAGGTACATGCCTGGTCACACTGCCCTCATCTCCTTCTCCTTCCCACAGCCTTTCTTCCACCAAGGACCTCTGCAACTTCCACCATCCGGTGACGGGGCGCTCAGCCTGGCTATGGCTGGCACTCTCCCTTATGCACCTATCAACCTAGCCCACTATGCTACAACAGGTCACACGTGTCACCAGCCGAATGCTGCTTGAAGACTCTGTTTGAACAGCCTGCCTTCGTCGTCACCAGGTACGTGCCTCGTCACACTGCCCTCCTCTCCTTCTCCTTCCCACAGCCTTTCTTTTCCACCAAGGACCTCCGCAACTTCCACCATCCGGTGATGGGGCGCTCAGCCTGGCTATGGCTGGCACTCTCCCTCTTCTTCCTCGCTGTCACCACAGCAGCTTCCTCCTCCGGCACAGCGCTCAGCTACTGCTCCAGCCGCGCTGCCGCATTGGCACGATGTCCAAGTCGCCCAGAGTCTGTGCCCTCCAGCCTTTTATGCTGGCTGGAGAGGCCGAGCAGCGGCTGGCCTGGCTGCGCCGAGTTCCAGTTGCCTGTGCCTTGCCCCCTTCTGGAAATTGTGCCCAGGCCCAGCGTGCCCAGCATCTTAAACCAAGTGGGCTTACCAGTTAGTTGGAGATGCTGCCTAGATGCTGCACACTCTGCAACCACCCGGGGGCCCCCAATTCTGCTCATATCGGCCTATACTTAGGCCGGGGCTCATTTTTGCAGGCCCGCCTTCACTTCAGCTGGGTTGGGCCTTTTCTTAGCATTGCCGAGGTCCAGAATCCTCGCAAAAGCAACGCTACACATACCGCGACACATACAAGTTATTTGTAGACCAGCAGAGCTGGGCCTGTTGCAGGCTCGGACTGTTTTAAGACTGATGGCTCTTGCAAATATGGCCAAGGGACCAGGTTAGACCAGTTCTCCGATTTGGGAAAAAAAGATCAGAGAACTGGTAACAATTCCTGATTATATCAAGACACAAAAGTTATCCCTTCCCCTTCAACCATCTCTTTTTTTACCAACCTGGGCTGCTACAGCGCGCCAATTTGCCGCCAAAAAAAAAAGATCCGACGTGGGCGCAAAACATTTTCTTTTCGCCTGGTGCCACCAGCCACTTTGGTCTGGTAGGCGAAGACCCTGCCAACAGGGGGAACAAAGTAGCCAGGAAATGGACTGGTGATTTAAGGCGCATTGGTCACGATAGCCACGCTGTGGTTCAGTGCACGCTCAGTCCACGGTGGACTTTGGTTCAAGTCCGTCGGATCGTGTCCATCTACGGCCATTGCTGGGTTTTGGGTGTTCCTATCCACACCACAGACACACACACACACACACACACACACACATGATGACAGTTCTGATTTGAGAACAGTCTTTCCCAAGAGTTTGGTCGGAGAACTGGCACACAGCCTGTGACTTATATCATGTTAACAAGCCTAACTTCGAGGATGTTCGCTTCTCAATGCCATTCATATTCACCAGTGTACACGACTCCCTTAACAGGAATGCATGAGAGAGGAGAATTAACATTTTACCAGGGCAGGGCCAGCGGCCTAGCTCAGTTGGTAGAGCACACAAGTGGCATTCCAAAGGTCGTGGGTTCGATTCCCCACGTCATCCATTTGAGCCCCCCATGGCCCGCTCCAGCACACTTTGGGTTCACCAGCTGAGACAGTTGGCTTGCCCCCCCTTGGCTGGTCTTGGCACGAATGAGGGTGTCTTGCCTTCCCTCACTGGGGGGTAGGAGTCTGGGTACTACTCCCCGCACAGAGTAGAGATTGCTGGTAACATTGTAATGATGAGTGCCCCGATGCTCTGTTCGGTAGTAACGTCCTGATGGTCCGAGGAGTGGCCCGATGGTCAGAAGTGCAAGGAATTGAGAAAAACTACAGCTGTCCCCCAATGAGGAGAAGACAGCTTCAAAGAAAAGAAAAGGGGAAAACAGGAAAAAAGAAACATTTTACCAGAGCAAAATTAGACCTCCGTGCTTGTCGCTTGAAATTCAGCCTGGAGAAATACGATGCCTGCAGATACAAAACCAAAATAGAGAACCGTGTCAGCAAGTTGGCCTACAGGTGGAAGCGGATGTGTGACAAAAAATAAAAACCTCTGACATGATGGTGAAACAGCAACGGGATTGCCACACCCCAGAATCGAAAGAGTCGATGTAATAAGGGTATGGCTCATGGTAACTCCGGACCCGGACACCCTACACTTCTGGACAGTCTTCTGGACCAGTGTCTGGACCGGTCCGGACTGTCCGGTGATCCGGACATCACCAGACACCGGACAGTCCAGACCGGTCCCCGGGGTGCAAAAATGTCCGGAACCAAAACAAACAAACAAACAAAAAAAAAAAAAAAA